TATCCTATCCCATCCCATCCCATCCCATCCCATCCCATCCCATCCCATCCCATCCCATCCCATTCCAAGAGAAATACTGGTTGTGACTTACTAAATCAATTTGAAAACACAGGCTGACCTTACATCCAGTCTACTGCTTAGGATCACTAAGTGACACAGTGTGCCTGGAACACGAGCCCTCTTCAGCATCCAGAGCAGGACACACTTCTTCTAAGCCTGAATCCAGTCTGCCTCAGGCCCCTGGCTGGCTGTGAGCAACACCCACCTTTGAGACACCTGCAGGACCAACCTCAGCAAATGCACATCAGGCCTGGTACTGTCTAGCTTGGAAGATTCAAATCTACACCAACAAAGAGCAGGAACACCTTTCATTCAATGGTGAAGATCACGGGGAAATGGGGATGCAGGTCAAAACAAAGCAAAAAAACCATCTAGCTAACTCCAGAGACACACGAATTAGGGGAGATGAAAAGTAAAAGATTTCTTCTCATATTGGATATCTTTACACAGTTTTTCTGTCTTAGTTGGAAATACAACATAGTCTTTGGATTACCACTTACCACATTCTCTAGTTTTAATAAGGTGTACTGAATTTTTTCTGCCATAGGTACTATACCTTTTTTTCCAGCCACTTTAATGTCTTCTCTTTGCTGTACTTGTAATATTTCTTTTTGCCTATTTCTGGATTAAATTGAAAAAAAAAAAGACTGAGCATAGATTAAACAAAAATAAAACTCATAAGGTTATATCATATACAAGATAATTTTTAAATATTTTATATTAGTGCATATTCTTGAAAAACTCAATTTGTAAACCTGAGAGTATGCTTGAGATATCAAAAAAATTCCAAAACAGCCCTGGCTGGGTGGCTCAGTTGAGTGGAGCATCATCCCTTACACCAAAAGGTTGCAGGTTAGATTCCTGGTCAGGGCACAAACCTAGATTGCAGGTACAGCCCCAGTCAGGGTGCATGTGGGAGGCAACCTATTGATGATTCTCTCTCTCTCTCTTCCCCTCTTTGTCACTCTCTCCCCCTTCTTCTCTCTCTAAATATCAGTAAAAGCATATCCTTGGGTGAGGATAAAAAAAAAAAAAAATGCCAAAACAGAATTTGGGTACCTCCAACCATTAAATGAGTGGGAATTTAAACAAATCATCAAATTATACAGATGGTAGAAAAGGTAATTTTTAAAACAGAAATTTAGCAAGAAAAGAAAATTTCATTTTTCTGCATAATTTTAAGCTTACCTTTCACTGTTTTCAATGAAAGGCTACCTTTCTAAAATAAAAACAGAAATCCTAAAAGAGAAAATTGAAACTAAGTGCAGATGCCTATGAACATTCCATACCAAATATATACTATTAACTACTCAGTACTGTCATGGTGGGATTAGTGGAGAAAAAAGAAAAGATAGATCACTTTTTCACTGTATCCCAGTACCAGCATTGCTAGTTCAGGGAAATTCAGATTTATGATACACTCAACCTGGCCCTTTTATAGGGATAAAAGTTTCATGTTTTATAAATTATACTTTCTGTCCTCACAATCCACCTAGCGTCACCTACCACATCAGTGAACCACTACTTCCTTGGCAACACTTCCTTCATGGGGTGTCTTGGTTTCTGTGCAATCAGTGGAGGGGCACAGCGGAGGGGCACTCCACTCCCTCTTCCTGCCTCCACACAGGAATTATCCTGTGACCACTGGATAAGGGCAGATGCAAACACCCATGTATGTTTCTGAGGGACCTGTCCTAGATTACATAGAATGACATTTTCTCTTTCTCTGCTCTGTAATCATAGTGAGAAATGGAAACTTTTCTGCAGTCTGCTAAACTGCTTGAGTTCAACTAAATGGCTTGCATGGAGGAGGAGCTGGCAGGTCTCTGGCCCTAGGCCCTGTACATTTCCTCTTCATTTCAGCCTGTGGTTGTCAACACTGTGGGCAAGAGGAGGCAGGTTGGAGTGGGGAGCCTGACATATGCTCCCCTCTCCTCAGGACCTGTCACTGAATAACAAAAAGGAGGCACTGTTGCAAATGGCAACCTGTCAGAAATTTGGGAATTCCAAGGTGCAAGGTCTGCTATCCCCCGAGCTAGGACTGCCTGGGCCAACAGCCTGCTGGAGAACCAAGGTAGAGGAGACTGGACTTCTCTTCCCTGGAGATGATGTCCCACCCCATGCACATTAGGGGAATTCTAAGAGCATCATAGCGATCACTCAAAAAATGTACACCGTTCAATGGATTTTAGAAGTGCCGTTCATTGCCTGAGACAAATAATCTCCAAAGAAGCTCAGTGCTCAGGTCTCTCCTAAGAAATTTTACCTTGACTACTCACTTCCCTCTTGCCTCTATCTCCAAATTCTCTGAAAAAACGTTCCCTGAAACTACACTCTGCCAGTTTCCTTCCTCTCTCCCACTCCCTGCGCCCCTTGCAGGCTACTTCTTTCCCTCTTGAAAACGCTCTTTCAGAAGAGAAGTCAGACGCTGAACTGTACTTCTTGGGTTCCTATACACGCAGTGCACGCTGTCACCTTGGGAAGTCACCTACTAAATGGGATGATCCATACAAATCCGATAGCACACCTGGCACATAACAAATACTTAAAATTAGGTAAGAACAAAGTGAACTGACAACCTGTTCACTATAATAGCATCGGAAATTAATGTACATTCAGGCCTGTGCTATGTTCTTTCTTTTAAAAAAAATTTTTTTTTATTGCTTTTTCAGAGAGAGAGGAAGGGAAGGAGAGAGAGAAATATCCATTTGAGAGATTGAAACATCGATTGGCTGCCTCCTGCATGTGCCCTGACTGGGAATCGAATCCAAGACCCTCCCATGAGGAGGCCAATGCTCTAACCACTGAGCAATGCGGGCCAGGGCTGTGCTATGTTCTTTATACACACTTTCTCATTGAATGCCCAGAATGAATGGCTGGTGAAAAGCATTATTTGTCCTTGTCTTAAAGAACTGGGTGTGAGTGAAGTTCAATAAACTGTTGAAAGTCACTGAGCTAGTAAGCAGGAACATCAGGATTCCTTCTCAAGCTGGCCACAAAGCTGTGGATCTGATGCTCATTTTACCAAAATCAATTAGCTATTCACCGGCTTTGTACTTCTGACCCTGTTATTTGTGGGTAAAACCTCTCCTCCCTGGTTCTATAAAACCTTTCTCTCAGTTTTTATTCATCTCTGATGACTTTTCCTCTGATTCTTTTCTAAGCTCGACTTCATCCTCCTCTGAGGCCAATTGTATCTTTCTCCTGGGGTGACTTCATCCTGTCTCAACAACACTAAACAAACCCATCAGGACTCCTACAGCCCTCAGCTGAGGCTGTGCATGCCTAAAGCCAGACTGCTTACCTTCCTCCCAAACCACCCTCCTGCACACCCAGGCTTGAATCTCAGAGCCATTACTCACTCCTGCCTTGCTCCTTACATTCCATCACTAGTCTCCATGGGAGATGGGAAAGAGCCAACATTATCTTGTAGGGGACAAGGGGGAAGGAAAAAGCAAACAAGGAAAAAACTGTGTCAGAAATCAGGAGGCTTAACTTTTTGTGCTGGATCAGCAACCACTTCATTTAAAAAATAAATAAATAAATCAGTTTTATTTAGTAATAATGTTCATATGATAAATACACCCATCTTAAGTGTACAATTTGAGAGTCTGGACAAATGTACTCATGCAGTCATGAAACCATCACCCCAAAAGTTCCCTTGAGCCCTTCTGCCTTTAGTTCCCCAGACCTCAGGTGACCACTGATCTACTGTCATTATAGTTTTTGCTTTATCCTAGAACTTCAAAGAAATGGAATCACACAGTGAGAACTTCTTTGTGACCATCCTCTTTTGCTCAACATCATTTCTTTGAGATTCTTCTATTTTGTTGCAGGTAGCATTAGTTCCTTCCTTTGTATTATGGAGTATATCCTGTGTATGGATTCCCACATTTTGCTTGCCCACTAACCTACTAAAGAACATTTAGGTTGTTTCCAGTTTGGGGCTATTTTGAAAAAGTTGCTCTGAAATCAAAAGTCTGCTCTGAACATTCTTGCACAAGTCTTTGCACAGATCTATGTTACCATAAGATTTGAGTAAATATCAAGGATGAGAATTACTGAGTCATAAATTTCCAAGTGGTTATACACCATTTTATGCTTCCACTAGCCAGGTAGGAGAGTGCCAATTGTTCCTCAACTTATCATCTGTCTTATTTGTTTTAGCCACTCTTGTGGGCACTAATGATATTTCCTTGTGGTTTTAATTTACATTTTTCGGTGACTGATGATATTGAACATCTTTTCATGTGCCCATGGGCTATTCATAAATCTTCTTTTCTGAAGTATCTGTTCAAACTGCTTGCTGATTTTCTACTGGGTTGTATATCCTCTTATTATTGTGTTAAGAGTTCTTTACGTATTTTAGATACATATCTTTTATCAGATACATGCCAGGTAAACATTTTCTTCCAACTATGGCTTTATCTTCTTTTTTCCTCAATGGTGTCTTTCAAAAAACAGAAGTTATTAATTTTTATGAATTTATAATTTTTTTCATTCTGTATTGGTTTCAGGTGTATGCTCAGTGGTTAGACAATCATATACTTTACATAGTGTTCCCTTGATACCCCAACTGGCACCATAAACAGTTATTGCAATATTATTGACTATGTAATTTTTTTATGGTTAGTGGTTTTTGTGTCCTAAGAAATCTTTGCCTATCCACACAAAGGTTTTCTATTAGAAGTTTAAGTTTTCATTTCTTTTAAGTAAGTGATTCATTTTGAGTTAATTCTTCTGTAAGATGGTGATGTTAATTTTTTTTCATATGGAGATCCAATTTTTTCCAGGTCATTTGTTGAAAAGACTATCCTTTTGTCCACTGAATTATCTACTTCTGGATTCTCTACTCTGTTCCATTTATCTATATATTTATCCTTACGCCAATAACACACTTTCTTGATTATTTTAGCTTTATAGTAAGTCTTAAAATCAGGTTGTGTAAGTTCTCCAACGTTTTTCCTCAAAATTGTTTTGGCTATCATAGGTCCTCTGCGTATATCAATTCTAGAATCATCTCAATTTCTGCTAAAAGAAATAGACATCTTAATATTGAGTCTTCTAGTTCATAAAATGGTTTACCTCTCAATTTATTTAATTCTTCTTTAATTTCTCTCAGCAATGTTTTGTAACATTCAGTGTACTGGTCTTACACAGATTGTGTTAGAACTATATTCTTAAAGCTTTATGATTTTTTGATGATATTACAAATGGTATGTTTTTATTCCATTGTCCAGTTATTCACTGCTAATACATGGAATACAATTGACATCTGTATATTGACCTTGTATCCTGGGTCCTTTTTGATTAGTTCTAATGATTTTTTGTACATTCTTTTGAGCTTTTAACATACATGACCATATTGTTTATAAGTAAATTGTTTCACTATTTACTTCCCAATCTATACACCTTTTATATTTTTCTTGTCTTATTGAAACGTTAGGACTTCTACTTCAGTGATGAATAGAAGTGGTGAGAGTAGACATCCTTATCTTGTACCTAATCTTAGGGGAAAAGAATTGTCTTTTACAATAAAGTATGATGTAAGTTTAGGTTACAGATGCCCTGAGGAAACTCCCTTCTATTTCTAAGTTGCTGAGAATTGATATTATAAATGA